ACGGGTCTCCCCTCACCAGTCCCACTCCCCGGGGCTCCCTTCACAGAAGTGCTTGGCTTGTCCCACCTCGGTGCTCCTGATTTTAGCTCTATCCTAAGATGACTTACCCGGGTCACTCATGCAGATGTTGGACCAGCCTGCTCCCCCTGGAAGAGGCCCCAGTGAGGAAGGACCCAGTAAGGGATGAGTTGCTCCTAAATCCTGCCACAGCAGGATAATTTGTCTGCTCTCCTGGCATGAAATGAGGATAATGTGTCCCTATATAGTTCTCAGCCCCAGCGCCCACACAGTATTTTGTGCCTTCCAACTGATCTTGCCCTGTCCCTCGGCCAACATTCTCCACAAACATAACTCCCATCATCACTGTCAGCAGCAAAAGCCATCTCTGCAAGGACAGCTCAGTGTCTCTTGTGGCGTTTGCTTGGCGAGAAAACAACTAAGAAGAAATAAAAGTGGATCCTAATAATTTCTTTTTTCAGACTAAAATCAGATCTCGATGGACTATTCTAAACCATATAACCATTCCCTGACACCTGATGAAAACCCCTTTGTGAAGAGGAGCAATGTTAGGCTCCCCTGGATGGTGCACCCTGAGCGTGTCGGAATCAGCTAACGAGGAAAGAAGACGTCACTACATCTGCTCCACATTAAAGCTTCCCTCCTTTAGTGGAGGGCTGAGCTGTACGAGGTTGCTTTCAGCTGGGGAGGAATTTGCTCTGGCTCCGCCAGCCTCTCGGTAACATCTGAATTTCTGCGCTGTCCCTGACCTTTTGGCACCAGCCGTGCTCTTGCTCCGACTCCCTGGCTCCTGCCATGGGGCCCCACCAGCGTTTTATAACGCTCACAGCCATCGTGGGCTTGTGGCAGCTTCCAGGACGCCGCTGTCACCAAGGATGGCTTGTGGAAATTAATAATTCCGAGAGAAATAAAGCACCATGTGCTTCACAGAGCTGTTTTCCCCAGGAACCACAGATTTTGGGTGCTGCTGTGCGCACTCGCAGGGCCCAGGAGCTGAGGGAGGCAGGTACCTGCTTAGGGCATCACCAGCTTCAGCCCTGCATCTTGCAAATTACAGTGGTGACAGTGCCAAAATTCCATTCAAAAATTGGAAGAGTGTGGCAGTCCTGCTAAACAACAGGACTTGTGTGAAAAAACGTGAGATTTTTTAAGGAAAAAGGCAGGTTTGGGGCTTTTGCAGCCAACTGAGAGCAGGAATTCAGAGCACTCATGTTTTTCTAATGCTCTGTAACCATGAGGGCTTAGAAAAGTTGCTTTGTACTGGAGGCAGGAATTTGCTTATCACGCTGCAAGCAGAAATCGGAGCCTTTGGAAAAGCAGCAGGGTTATAGAAGTGACAGTGTCCAGCCCAAACTGAGGCTCCAAACCCTACCCTGCAGAGTGCTCGTAGGGTCTGTTCCTCCATCCTCCCTCCTGCCAGAGTGGCACAGGGTCTGCCCACCCATCTGTCCTCCCTCTCCACAAGTTTATCCTCCAAGAGAGCTGCCCTCAGAGGGCGTCACTCACCCCTCACTCCTTGCACAGCGAATTTCCATCAGCTCCAATTGTGCTCCTGATTTACACCAATTAACTGCAAACTGAGGTCCCCAAGACACCATTAGTAGTTTCAGCGGATGAAGTGGGAGATTAACTTGTCTGAATTCGCTCCATTTATTATTCCACATGTAATTGTGGTTTCCCTGCCTGCGAACAGCCTGGGAGCCTCTCCCTTACATACGTACACACGGGGTTTCAGCATCTGTTTTGTGGTCAGCGAGCAATAGGGAGCGGGAGCCAAATTGTGGCACCCACCTCAAGGCACTGAGCCAAAAGCTGTGCCAGTAGTGGTGGGACAAGCCCGGGACCTGCTTCTGGAAGCTGATTTCTCTGCAGAAACTGTTTTCTGTGTGTCTGTTGAGGATCCTGTTGAGTTACCCATCACCACCCCCCTCCCCAAAAGGTGCTTCGTTGCTTGTTTGTGGGGTTACCTGTCATTAGGAGAAAGACTCATCAGAGTTACGCCATCTGACAGGGTTCCCTTTAACCACTATCAGAGAACACGCTGCTAAGCGCAGATTTATTACCTCTGTAATGCAGATAAAACGAGATTTTATGGCTCTGTAGACCTGGCAGCATAAAGGAATAATGGAAACTATCTATCAAAGTAGGGGATGCGTCCCAGGAAGGAAAGGAGATGCACGGGAGGTTAACAGCCTGTCCTCGGACACTGCCAGATATCCTCTCCCCAATATCCCTGCACAGAAGCCACTGAGCATTCAGCCCAGTGTGCCACCCAAGAGAAGTCTCACCACTCATTTGCTGGATTCCTCTGCTTGTTTTTCCCATTAAGAAATTCCCCAGCAAGACGAAGCATGAAACTGGACAAATATTTTTTCTTTTTCCTTGTAGGAATGGGTTCAAAACTGAGAAATGAGCAAGCATCCAGAAGTGCCTAATGAACTCAAAGTCTGCCCCTGTCTGAAATTCCAGAAGAATCCCTAAGAAACCAGGCATCCACTATCATCCCACATTCCCAGCCCTCACGGTGATGAGCTCAGGCAGTGAACTGAGGGTGAATCCTGCATCCTGCTCCCACCACTGCTTCCCCCAGCAAGGTACAGCCTTGCACAGCTGTAACAGACTGAACTGTGAGACAAATTCCACTCTTTTTTTTTTAAAACATTTTATTAATAACCCATTAGTTAAGGAATATAAGGACAATGTCTTCTTACACTTTAACACTAAAGAGTATTTGTGGAGTAAGAACAGTCTCTGAAGAAAGAAAGTTATAATAAAGTACAGCATGGAACCAAACACAGACACAACCTTCAAACGAGATCAAGTTCTGGTTACACATCCTTATGCACCGTGCAGAAAATTAAATGAAATTTAACTTCAAAATACAAGCAAGGGAATAGAATAACAGAAGTAGATGGTAGATTTCTGCTGGACTAAACACTGCTTTTCTAACAAAAGTATTGATTAGAAAAGACACAATGATCCCTTCAAAACATCTATTACTAAGGAGACCAAAACCAGTGCTCTAGTAAAATGGTTGTTTTCTTACATATGGGCTGATCTCAGGACTGTTAGCTAGTAACGTAAAAAGATTCTCAAACCCTAAATTATAAGTTATCTCATTTGAACTATTTAAGCCAGAACTTTGCTGCCTGTTAAGTAAGAAATCAAATCAACAAAAAGCTGATAGAGGTTTTTATCTGAGTCGTGGTTTTCATGTAACAAGGAATGAAAAGAAACGAAAGGATGGGAATTGTGACCCTCACAGCAGCATGGGGAATATACAGTTGTGTAGCCAAACAGTAACATTAATACTACAAAATTATGCCAGTGAGACAAACCTGACATTTTAACAATGTAAAACAATATACACCAGCAAAAAAAGTTGAACAGCAATAATCTTTAGTGTTACTGAAAGGAAGAAAAGGGAGAAAGGAGCCCGGTGTGCAGGAACAGATATTAAGCATGATGGGTAATCAAAGGTATCAACAGTTTGTGTGCCTGCGAGAAATCTGCAAGAAAGCTACTTATTCCATGATAAAAAAATATATGCACTGGTTGTTTCAGCTTTACACATCAAGTGTGTATTATGTGTCTTCTTCAATTCATTTCTAGCTGGGGCTGAAAGGTCCCCACGTGTTCCGGGCAGGAGGGACCTGGGGCACAGCTGAGTTGGACACAGACACCGAGCACTCCGTGTGGACAAGCGCTGGTCCAGGGACAGCTCCGCTGCTGCCGGCCAGGGGTGATCTCCTGGCTCCAGGGGAATGGCCTGGATTCCTGGAGCTGAGGTTTGGTGTGTGAGCCCACGGCCACCACAGTTCTTGGACATCCAAACGCTGCCAGTCTCACATCCTGGTACAATTTGGTGAAGTGTAATGAGACCAGAACAAGCCTCGGCACGAGGAGACAAAGTATTTTGGGTATGTGTAAGCAAAACTGTTTGTGCTCTCCTGCATCTCCCCCAAAGCTCTCGGGGCATGTAACTACCGTGGTGGTTTGGTGGCCGGCCCAAGGTGATCCAGGGGAATGGTGTCTGCCTTCAGTGACAGGCAGGGACAGCGTTCAGGCAGCTCAGCTCATGGCTGTGGGATTGCTAAAGTCAGTACAGACAAAGCAGAGGGTGCATGTACAATGGAGCTCCCGAAAAAACACTGGCACATTTCTAAATCAGCCAGCAGACTAAGCCTCCATCCCCTTCCATCCCCTCGATGGAAAGCTCAGGGCTGGTCCATGACCTGCCCCAGGTACTCTGTCCCGATTGAGGAACTGGTTTGGGAGGTGAAAAGAAGAGACCAAGGGCTCCCCTAGAGTGAGCTTTTTGGGGAAGTCTGCTCCTCCCTTCCTGCGCCCCAGCAGTGGCAGCACGGCTTGTGCAGGGCCTGTTCTGTCACTGGGGAAGGGCAAGGACTGTTCCATGGAAATAACTGGGAACTGAGGCTCACCTGCAGAACATCCCCCTCCCTCTGCAGCGAGTGCCTGACACTGCCCAGCTGGAGGGTTTGTGCCTCTGCAATTGCCTCCACTCCCACAGAACTGTGAATTGCCCCTATTGCCTGCAATAACACTGCACTGCCTTAGCTGTAACCCTGCTAAGTCATGAGTTTCAAAGTCTTGTGGCAGTGAGGTCTGGGGATTATTATCCTCTGCCTTTCTAGCTCCTCGCTCTGGTAGCACACACATACACCAACTCCTGCCTCACCTGCTTGCTGGCACTGATTTCCAGTCTCTGTCCCACAGCATTCCAGAGCTATGGCTCTTCAGAGCATGGAACAGCATTTCTGAGACTCCTCAGGACACCAAGCAGCAGCTGGAGCAAAGAGAGCGAGTGCAGCAACTGGAAATCCAGCTGGTCAGCAGAACAGTGTGTCGTGCTGAGAGGACAGGCTGCAGGCTGGGGAGAGGTGGACGCTCCAATATCCTTCCCAATAGGATACATGGAGGGTTGGAGGTTCTCCTCTGCTGAAGAGCTGGAGCTAACAAGGTGAGATGGTCCAGCTCAGCTCCACACACAGGGCACACTGTGACACGGCTCCTCACAACAGATGCAGGCACAGGGTGCTGGCAGAGTAAAGTTTTCCTTGTTGCAAGCAGTGGTACCTCCATCCTGATTTCACCACAAAACCCAAAATCTGAAGCCTTCTACAGGATCTCAGGTCAGCACATGGCTCCCCTATGCAGCTTTGGGGGAATTTCAAAAGGAAATGAGGGAGATGGGCATGTTTTCCTTCACTTTTTAAACAAACAAATTACCAGATCTCTGAATCCTCCAGGAAGGCAAAACATTTCCCAAACACCCATGACGAGAGTTACCAATGCTTGTTATCCCTGCGGAGCTGGTCCAGTCAGTATCATCTGCAGTCAAACTCTGCGGGCCTGGTGCAGGGCTAAAGAAAAGGTGGAGAAAAGTCCAATCCCAGCAGGGCCAGGCTGCGAGACGTGTCAGCAGTAAGCAAACAGCATCAGCAGGAAGAGTCACCGGGTGATTTTCAAACCAGACTGACTGATATGAGACCAAAGATTTGATCTTCATTTTAAAGCTCTGGTGGTGCTCTGCTCTTAAAAAAAAAAAAAAAAAAAAAAAAAGAAAAACCACCCACAAGCACTTTGGCCAGGACTCTCAGAAGTGACTGGAAAACTTCACTTGTTCATCCAAAGCCTTCAGCAAGTCCACTGCTTACAGAAGGCTGAGTGCTGCTTTCTGGAAATCAAAACCATCTGAGATGTCTCCTCTTGGGCACACACAAAAAAAGAAATAGATGTCCCCAAGATAGCAAGTTACTTTTGCAGTTGTTGGTTCTTCTTTTTCTTCATTATTATAAGCTTTTTAAGGAGAGATGGATCGACATCCCACCAGCTGGAGCAGTCCCCTTTGGCAGCTCCTGAAAAACAGTCCTACAGGGAGACACAACCCAACTCTCAGGCTGCAGGGAAGGTGTCAAAGAAACAAAGCAAGAGAGACATCAGATCCGCAGCACTATGTGTTAAAAAAGAGTCAACAACCAGTGCAAACATATTCTTTAGAAAAAGGCAGTATAAGAATAAGTTAAAACCTATAATGGACTATAACAAAAGAGTAGATATCTACTGCTTTTTTTTTTTTCTCCAACAGACATGAGGTAGTTGTGTTGTTAGGGAGGAAAAAATAAAGAAAGAGAGAAGTAGTAAAAATGCTACTCTATACCACACACTATTCCACTTTATAAAATTAAATAATGTAAAGATGTTCCAAGGAAATAAAAATACATGTTGTACATTAAAAGGACAGATGTGTACCTAAAATATTAGGTACAAGAACCTACATAAAACAAAGTCCAGGCTGGTGAAATGACCCAGACGCTGCAGAAGGTTCTATATAGTACAAGTTGTTAGAGGCACTCGTAGAGTGTGTAATAAAAGGCCACTACACCAGCCTGCTAGTAGAAGTTACAGAGAGCCTGGGAATCCTTCTAACCACGGGAGGGCAGAAAAGGCTGGTGGTTGCAGCTCACTGCGTTTGTTTCCGTCGGCTGCCACCCCCTCCCGGGACTCCTGGGACGGGATCCATCCCGGCACAGTCGGCAGTGCCAAGCGCTGCCGGTGCAGAGGCAGTTGAGGAGGATCACTCAGTGTGCTCTGCCACTTCCCAGCATCACACGATGTCTTGCCAGTCGCCTGGAGGACTCCGGAGAAGTGACAGCCCCAGTCTAGCGCAGAAGGGCTCCTTTCCGTGGTGGTTCCCTGCGCCAGGCTTCGGCAGATCGCTCGATCCTGCTCCCACCGACACCCAGCTACTCACCAGCTCCAGCGGGAAGGAGATGGCCCTGCCCAAGGTACCTCCTGGCTTCCTGCAGGCGTGTGCCCAGCTGAGGGTCCGAGCCCCACCCTGGGAGGGGCTGTGCCTGCTCAGCTCCTGCTGGGCTCCGTGAGCCGAGGGCAGGCAGCACCTCTCAGCTCTGCCGTGATCAGCACCAGCTCAGGTCACTCTTTGTGGCTGTGGACATGTGCCATGTTCTCACATGCTGAGGATGGACTGGTTAAAGCAGAGTTACTGCAGAGCGGGGCCTCCTCCGGGGCCGTGGAAAGCAACTGGCCCTTGACTGGCTGCACATCCCGCCCATCCTCCTGGATGGAGTCTGAGTCTCCACTCTCCACTGAATCCAGACTTTCTCCATGGCTGTGGAAGCCGTTGGTGAGCCCAGGGATGCAAACGGCCTCTGGTTTGTTAGTTTTTGTGTCAGCCTGGGCCTGAGCCTCCAAATTCCCTGTGCAGTCCACCAACACTTGGCCTGTGTCCTGCTGGGAGCTGGGAGAGCCAGGAAGAGCCAGCTCTCCCGAGGGGAGCTCTTCAGGCTCCTGGTCCTCGATTTCTGTCTCTTCACTCTCCAGGGTGTGCAGCTGGGAGTCGTAGTCTCTGTCAGAGGCTGAAAAATCAGAATGGACAATGACCTCTGCTTCCACTTGGTGGAGGTTGGCTGGTGGGTGGCTTTTCTTTGTTTCATTCTGTTATTAAACAGGGGGGAAATAAGAAAAAAAGAAGGCAAAGTAAGTGAAATTCTGATAATTGAGGCTGTGACCCAACCAAGCACTGAAATGTATTTCTTTTTAATCCCACAGAGTGAGATGGGATATACACATGCCTCTATTAAACATTATCTTGATGTGCTTCTCAGAGCTGAAGTCTTAAGAAGCATCTCAGATCACCTCGGGATCATTATTCCTATTTTATGTTCGAGAAAGCAAGTCCCAAGGGAGCAAAGTGACTTGCCCACAGTTTCTTGGCAGGCTGGAGCAACCATTCCTCTGACTCTCTGTCAAAGACCACAATTTTCAAAACTCGCCAGTCTCTTTCCATATTAAAGGCCAGATTTCCAAAGGCTGAGTGGGCAGCACTCTGGGAAACCAGTTTCAGAGAGAGATAGCAGGGCTCTCTTCAATTTCCTGCTTTAATTTTGGCTACATATCACCAAGTGTGTGTTCCTTAGAGCCCTGGTCACAGCCTGCAAAAGCCTGTGTAAATTCAAGCACTTGAATTCAGAAAGAAAGCAGTAAGTTCTGCTCTGCAGTGTTTTAAGCAGAGCTCAGGCTACAGATCTCCACAAATCTGGCTGACGAGCAGGTCATTCCACGAGATTATCACTCAATAATTTAACAGACAAATTATTGTGGAAGCTCACAAAGAGCTCTCTAGGCAATCAGCGCTCAGACTCTGGGCTGAGTGTGATGTAGCAGCAAGAAGACAATTCAGGGTATGGAAGTGATATCCCACGAGTAATTTGCTCTTTTCTGTTGAAGCCAACTTCCAGCATCATTTACATATTTTAACACTTTTCTCCTTTTGTTGACAAACTCTGCTGGGTAAGCTGTGCTGTAAACGGTGCCCTGTAATTGGGCTGTAAAACACTGCCTTAACTCTATCCACAATGCTAATTACATCCTGTGTATAATTGATTTTCACACCACTGTCTAGGAAGGAAACATAGGTGGGTTACTTAGAAGTAGTTACAGGGGGTGGAGGATGAACTTTTTTCAAACAATAACCAAAGAAATCTTCTGGTACAGAGTCAGCCTGAGCAGGTGGCAGGTTGCTTTGCTGAGACTGTGGCACAGACATCCCAATCCTCGCACAGACTCTCCCAAACATGGGAGTGCACGTTTATTCCAGTGAAGCAATACCAGAAATAGGATTTCCTCCCAGTCTGTGCACCCACATAAAGAACACGAGTGCAGTGGAAATTGCTCTGCCCTATCTGGAGAAGGGAGTTTAAATCAACCCTTGATCTTTGACTCCTTTTACAGCCAAAAATGCAATCCCTCCATCAGGCTGTAGATCTTAATGGCTGTGCTGAGCTCTGCAGCTCCTAACTCATTCAAGGGGCTGAGTGCTGCATGGCCACAGCAAAGACTCCAAGCAGACTGCTGGTGCCTGGATCCAGGCCCTCAGAGACCAGGAATGCCACAGCCCCACTGACAACCAAGTTTCTGAGCCCACCTGACCGTCACCAGAAGAACAAGCCCACAAAAAAGGGCTGCATAAAGGAAAAAGGGAGATGGGGAACATAAACGGAAAAGCCCCATCAGAATTCATAAGCCAGTAATTCAAACACCCACCATCACAGCATCATAAACCAAAGCTTGTAACAGGAGCTTCTGCCCTGCGCTGGAGGGGAGCTTGAGTGACCCGTTGACAGCAGAGAGGGGCTCCTTGGTGATGGTGTCCCCGTATCTGGCAATGCTGTTCGTCCAGGGCTGGGCGGCCGATTTATTCCACGAGGCCTGCAGGAGAAAAGGGGGAGGAGAAAAGATCCAGTTACCACACACACAGATTCTTAGCCTGGTACAAGAGACGTGAGAAGCAGCTTGAAAAAAGGAAAGCGCAGGTTGGGAAGGAAAATACCATAAAGGTGGAGGACACTTGTGATGGCATCAAAACGAAACTGCTCTGCAATGGACTCGTACAGTCGCTGCCTTAGAAGTGGCGTTACTGCTGGTACGTGGGCTGATGCGGAGCACGGATTTAAAAGATGCCAGATGGTTGTAAAAGGGTCTTTCCACTGATTCTTGCATTGTGAGACCAACAGGTATATCATGGCACAGACATCATTTAGAGGTCCCTTGAAATCAGCTCCCTGCAGAACTACAAGTAGCCCGGAGCAGAACGAGCCCACCGAGAAATACAGCAGAGCTGGGAAGGGACAGGGATGGGGAAATCTGGAGCTGATCCCAGTATTTGCTTTGGCACCAGCGAGGAGGACCCTCACCTGTGGGCACTGGCCTGTGTGCTCCAGTAGGAGCTGGAGACAATGGTACTCTGCCAGCTCTGCAGAACAGAATTCCTTCTCCAAGCCAGGGCTTGGGTAAACACTCTGACATTACCCATCAACACAGAGGCACAAAACTGGGGGCCTTATTTTGTTTAATTTTTTTTTTTTTGCAACAGACCACCAAGCAATTCTTAGCTCAGCTTTAAGTCCCCTGGGCAACCAGTGTTACCTTGTTTGTAGATCTAATTAAATTATATGGGCTGAACGCAATTTGTTCTGGGTTCTCTCAGCTTCCCCTTGCAATAAACTGTTGAATGCACACCTCTGTGTATGGGAAATGTGTGTCTTTAAGAGCTGAAGTTATTTAACAGCTCAGACTATTAGTTCACAGGCAGAACAGTATTTTCTTTCCAGCTTTTGATTTTATTGGGCTGTCCTGCATGTACCTGAGCTCAGCCTTGCTACTACTCATACATATACACACACAGACTCAGATTTAAGGACCACACTCTGGCCTCTTTCCACAGATGTTACACATTGCCTGGGTGGAAGAGAGGTGATGCAAGGATGAAGAAGAGAAAATCCTGCCCTGACACCAGTGAGTGTGCACGTGCACACTGAATGTTGGTGGTGTGAGCACGATGGCTGTGCAGGGGGAAGATGTACAGCCCATCTCTTCAAACCCACTGACCACCTATCGCTCCCTGTCAGCGGGAGAAGCCCAAGTTCCTGCTCTGCACATGTGGCTGCTCCCTAGGCCGGATCCATCCCAACAACCGCCAACGTAGCGCGAGTCCGGCCGAGACAGCGAGGAGATTTCTGACATCAGCCTGACCTTGTGTGAGTCATTTGACCTCCTTGTGCCTCGGTCCATCTGGCTGGAAATTAGGTAGAAATACACGACCAGATGTTGTGTGCGAGCCAGGCATTCCTAAGTCAGCTATTTAGCAAGAAGCGAATGCTCCCTCGTGCTGTCGGGGCTGGCCAGAGGACACTGAGGTGCTCGTGTGTGAGTGAAGGGCGGCCGGGGCCGTCCCCCAGCCCTCTGTGCACCCTCACCCAGGGGGCTCAACACCGTGTGGGAGGCAGAGCTGCGTTACATCCCAGCACCGCTCCCCAGTCACAGCAGCTTTGCTGCTGCTTCTGCATGTCATTTTTAGCAAACAAGTAGTGCAAGGGCTCATTGAAATGCCAGCACCCCGCAGAACGGTGACGTCCAAGCCCAGCGCGGTGGCCATCAAGCATTCGCTAATTTAGACGTGGATGCTCGAGGCAGTGTCTTTGCCATTTCTCTCTCTGCAATCCTCGACAATATATTCTGAGCCAAAAGCATTCCCTAATTGCTCCCTTTCTAAGTGGACAATCATTAAGCTACGCTCTAATAGCGAGAAATCAACCAAGTGATCACAGAGAGCCCACAATAAGGAATATCTCCACACGCGAGCGATCAAGGAGCGTGTTCAATTTGCTTCTGCTGCCATCTGAAAGGCTTTCTGCAGCTCCATCCCTGACTGATGGCTTCTGTGCCTCTTCCAAGGAACATACGTTACTGAGCAAATACTGCCTGGAGATTTCGGCGCCGAACCTACACAAATCTGCACACATGCACCAAATGTGTGTCCTGTTAGAGATGCCTGCGTGCGTATTTGCCATCAGAGAGATCTGAGCATCGTACGCGCACACACACACACAGAGCAAACTCAAAAACCTTCTTGCAGGCATCTTGTGAATACCGAAAAACGTGGAAAGAAACAGGCAGCTCTACTGCAATCCCCCATGGACCATCTGTTAGCGGAAATGTCAATCTGCCATGTTTACATAGGTTTTGATGACTCTGGGAACAGCCTGTTCAGCTCTGGCTGAAATTGGCTGCAACGAAGAACAAACTTGTTTTGTACCAGTTTGCAACTTTCAACAAACAGAAAAAACCATCAGCCACACAACATGGCCTGTGTCCCACATGTTGTTCGAGCACATTATGTTTGAGAGGGGGGAAAAAAAAAAAAAAAGAAGGCAAAAACCAAACCCCTCTTGGGGCTTAGGCTCTAAGGTTGGGCAGCGGCAATTAACTGCAGGTCTGTTTTCATCACAGACCTGAAGAAATCCTGTGTGCCTGAAAGCTTTGCTGCTTTTTTAAGTAGCATTTTTTGGTGTAATAAATGATACTAATTTCTTTACTTGAGGGAGGCTAGTGAGTGGCTGATGGAAGGAAATGTTCTCTTGGTTTTTACAACAGAGTAACGAAGGCAAAGAGCAAGGAGTGTCAGTCTAACACTAATTTAACGAGGGAAAAATCCCTTTGTCAGTTCACTGCAAACACGAGAATGAAAACTAATAAAAACATCTTCCAATAAAAGGCATTTCCATTACAGCTAAATCCTTATCAAAGCAAACAAGCCTTCTCATTTTAGCCTTTTTATAGAAACCCTGGCTGGTAAAAACGTGCCTAGATCGTGTTACCTTCTCAGTGACAAGTCACGATTCCATGCAAATATATGAGCTGAGAATGAACACGCGGGAAAAGTTCAACTTGAAACCTCCCCTGTTTTATGAGGATGGTTATTTAAAGGAGCTTGAAGTCCTGTGCAAAACAGGGCTGGGGACACTTCAGATGTGCCCAGCTTTTGAGAGTGTCACAGCAGAGGGAAAGGATTGCTGAACAGCTGGTGGGAGCGGGAGAGCTCCGTGTCACGCAAACATCCCAACATCCCTGCCCACAGCTGGGATGCAACAGAACACAGACCTCTTCCTTAAGAGATAAAGGAGAGTCTCTGCTTGCTGTCACCAGCATCACAGCTCTCATCTGAGACTTCTCAGAAAACACTGGGACTTCTTTTCCACGCACAAAAATTTCAACACGAAAATGACAAACAACCCGGGTAGATCCAAGTTCCCTGATGTGTTACAGCTTTTGCTCTCCGAGTCCCAGGGACGCTTCATGGGAAACACAGTCCTGCGGGAAGGAGGCCCTCAGGGAAGGAGCAGGGCGGCAAGCAAGGAAGGTTCCAGCTCGCAAGGAGCTCAACAGCAAACACTTCCAAGCCAAAACGCTTGGGTTTGGCTTCACTCGATGAAAAGCCGAAGTCTTCCACGGAAAGCAGATGCTTTTTAAACATTCTCCCCCACCCTCTAAAGTGCCTGGCCCAAAAGCAGCAGTGACAGAGCTGTCTGGAGCAGAGCCATTTCATCATCCTCAGTCCATCTGTCAGGGGAGACAGAGCTGTGTCCCCACAGCCTGTGCTCAGCGGTGTCCGTTCTAACGGGGATACCAGGACATCAGGGAGGAGTCACTTGCAAGGAGAAGACAGTAAGAGAGGAACATCACTCGCCAGTGTCTTTATAAATCCTTCCCTGTGACCACTGGGAAACACAGAAAGGAAGGAAAATGGGTGTCTAAATGGCTGTGTTCTGCTGCCCAGTGGAGCTGCCAGCATCCAGAGGGGCCCTGTGCTGACAGTTCAGCTGCAGTAGCACCTTTGTGTCCTGCAGGCAGGGACAGGGGGGCACGAGACTCTTCTGGGACTGCCCCACCTTCCACCTGCACCTCCACACTGCATTATGTGTAACAGCTCAAGAGGAATCACAGCCATAAGTTCAAAGGGACTGGTGATCTTGAAAACAACCAAAGGGACATCTCAAAACCCTTTCCTGAAATTCTTTGCAGAAATCTGTTCCAGTCTCGGTGTTTTTAAAGATTTCTGCCCTTTGGCCTCACACCTGCAAAGTGACATTTGCTCACTTCTGACTCCTTACGGCACGGGGACAGTCCCCTCTTCGTGTCTGTATAACTCCCAACACGGAGCCTCCAACCTCCACTGCAACCTCAGGCTGCCACAAGAATAAAACCAAGAAAGAATAATCCATGGAATGCCAAGCAAAGGCCAGGATGTGAGCAGCCTGCAGGCAGAGAGCAGCAATCACTGCCACCACCAACGGCAAGTGCCATCCAGACAACACAAACCAAGTTTTGGGAGCGTAACCTGAGGACAGAGAGACAAGGAGGCAACTGGAGGTCACAGCCACACCAACTTGCCCAGCAGTGGCAGCAGCACTGCATCAAGAGTCTGTCCCAGCCAGCATCCTGAGCTCTGTGGTGACACGAGACACTGTTATTTAAGGGATCCTTCAGACATTTCTCACTTCCTCTCTTTTTTGACTAAGACTGCCAGTCATGTTATCCAACCTAGAGCACCCCAGGGAGCTTCCCCTTGCCAGGCTGGAGCAGGAATTTCCTTCCACGAGGATTTTCTCTTTCCTATGGCTCAATCACATTCCTTGCCGTGGGTTTTCCCAGCCCCAACCACACACAGCATGAGAGGAGAAAAGAGAAGGCACCAAAGGCAGCTGGTCACTGCAGGGTGCAAAGCTCCCATAGCACTCTGTTCCAGGCAGGGTCCCTGGGGGTTTCCAGACTCGATGGAGCTATTTGGAACACACAGGATAACCCAAGGAACCCACACCCACTCCAGGGCCTCGACTAGAAGCACTGTGTACAAGCAGGGAGATGTACACACTCTGGACTGCTCAGACCTGGTTCACATTTGGTGGGCACCAGGCAGGTGTGCACTGCCCCAGAACTGCCCAACTCCCTGACCACCCAGCCAGGGAACATCACAACCCCCTCCAGACATGAGGCCCCTCGGCAACTGCAGCATAAATGTGTTTCTGAGTCTTTTCACCCTTGATTATGCTCTGTACCGATACAGAGCACAGAGAGGATGGAACGTGCTCAGGTGACACTTCCAGCAGGAGCCGGGCAGTGGAGGGAGCAGGTTCTCCTGCATGGGAGCACATCTCCCTCCAGTGCCCACTCCCAGCAACAACAGCCTGTTGCTCCGGGCCACCACTCCATCTCCTCCACCTGCCAGCTCGCCCTCCCTGCCCGGCATTGGTGACAACGCTGCTCTCCACGTGGCTGCTGCAGCTGCTTCCCAGTTGACCCTTGCTTGCCTACCCACATCCATCAAAAAAAAAAATCCTCGGTGAATTTAACACTCAGTAGCCTTTCCCCATCCAATTATGAAGGCACAGACCCTACAGCCAGAACTGTCCCTCTCCCCAAAGCTCTGGTCTCTGATCATAACTCACTGCTGGTCACTGGCAGCCTCTGAGGGCCCCAGCTCTCAGGATGAGCCCTGAGCAGCCAGGCCTTGGCACTGCCCTCTCCAGCCCCTGCTCTGCACTCATGCACATCTTGGTTTAAACCCCTGCAGGGAGAGAAACCCTCCTGCCTTGCAAGAGATCTGGATACGCTGCCCCCAGAAAGGCCTCACAAAGAAGGGAACTTCCCCCCACCCCGACCTGTTCTCAAGGGTAAGTCCCCATCCCTGAAAACATTTGTTCCTTATTTAACAGGAAGAGCTGTAGGAAATTCCTCACACTCTTGGGCTTGGGTCCAGACAGGCAGCCACATTCCATCACAATCCCTGGATGTGGTTTGGCTGCAAACAAACAGCCTCTCCTTCAGCTGAGCGCTGATCTGACACGGCAGCGGGGATGGCCACGGGCACGGCTTCAGCTCCCAGGGACACTAAAGGTGTCTTCTAGCTCAGCAGAAGATTTTGAGGTTCCAAAAGATCCCACCTGCACTGCCTCTCACAGCCAGGACAGAGCTCGTGGTCAGCCAGGTACCCGAACTCACCTTCCCTCCAGTGACCCACGAGCGCATCGCTGATGCAAACCTGAAATCCCACGTGCTCACAACGCGTTTGTTTTACTGAACCTCCTAATTACTTTACATGCTCTCCCAGGGCTACAAAGAGAGACATAAACAGATTAACTAAATTAGGCCAATTAAAGGTTCCCTAATGGAATGAAATGTTTCAGGCAAGCTTGAAAGACAAAATGGGCAGGGAGGAATGAAAGACAATGTAATGTCAGGCAAACCAAGCAGGGCCGGAAAAAACTACTTAAAACATAAGGTTCACAAAAAACCCACAGTTTCACCTCTTGTTTATCTTCTGGGGCATTCCAATGGATACGCTATTTATGGACACAGCTCCTTTTACTCCAAGCAAAAGGCTGAGTGTCTGCTCTAGACATGACATTTCCTCACAGCATCCACATGCCACAGCAACAGGAAAAGTGCACCTTTCTGCAGCACCAAGTTTGGCAGCAGCTTCTTGGGATGAGGGATCACTGGCCCAGGAAGTGAAAAGCAGTAGTAGGAGGCAGAGGGATCCCAAATTAGATCTGACAGCCGAGGCTGAGCCAGTCAGTTTTACAGAGAGGGAAATGCATGGCTGCCCAGCACCAGCTGTGCCAGCACTGCAGAGCCAGGACGGGATCCAAGCCTGGCTGCCCAGCACCACACACCAAACAAAGGCTCTTGCCCTGGGCGTGAGCCCAGTCACCACATGCCTGTGTCCTGTGTCCTTACCTTCCTCTTCCCGTGGAGGATGTCCTCGGGCAGGCTCGTGTGGATGAGGCTGTGCACCTCTGTCAGCTCTGTGATGTCCCCCAGGGGCACGGGGGCATCCTCTGGGAGTGGGGACATGAGGGACTCGAGCTCATGTGAGTCCAGGGTGGCACTGGGAGCAGCCATCCCCTGCCTGCTCCGGTGGTAGTACGTGTGGTTGCCAGCAGCCTGGGAATCCAGGCCTGGCAGGGCCTCCCTGAGGGAAAACAAGCGAGAGTTGACATCTCAGCTGGTCCACGGCCCAAGCCCTGCCCTGCCCCTCCAGAGGAAGGGGATCCTCTGTCCACATCCCACTGTAACAGCTTTCACTGCAGATGCATCTCCACCACCCTTGCTAATCCCAAAGCTCAGACAAATCCCAGGGAGGGATGCCAAGCTCTCCCTGCAGATCCTACAGCCATCAGACACCACGAGTCCCAGCACTGGAGCAGGACACTCACTAACCCTGGCCCATGGTGAGCTGTGTCACTCCTGTCACCTCTGCTTCACAGGTAAGAGATGCAACAGGACAGGAAAGTTCAGTGGCCACATTAGGACAAGACTCCAGAAGCTGCCTGTCCCTAGTCCTGAGATCTGCTGTAAGCTCAAAGCTCTTCTCAGCAACTGAGCTGTTTTCTGCTCGTGGTCTTTCCAAATGCTTGTGGCTGGATTCAGACCCCTGGGATAGCAGGGGGCTTTGGGCTGCGTCCAATCCTCCTTAAACCAGCCTGTCACTCACTGGGAAGTCTTTCATTATTTTCCCAGCTGGAAGTTAACAAACCATTTCCAAACATCCTTAGAGCTGTCCAACCTCAGAAGCAAAACACTGCCCACACTAACAGACAAAGGTAATAATCCGGTTCTTCCATTTTCTTGGGGCTTTTGCTTCTCTGAAAAGCAAAAAAACCCCTACTATTCTAAGAACACAAATTGAAGAGAAAATAAATCAGTGAAAAGATTATACTAAATATACTCCTTATCCAGCCAGCACTCCCAAGATCCAAGCTGTGCATTAACTGTGTCCTACACTGGATCCCAAGGCAGCAGAGCTGGACAGGGGATGCAGCTTACGGTGTATTTGTGTCCTTCCACAGCAGCCTCCTTTCCCTGCTGCCAGGTGAGCTCACACCCACCTGTGCTTGCTGTTTCGGAAGCTGGCACACATGCAGAAGAGGATGCAGAGCAGCCCCAGGCAGACCCCCACGATGATCCCCGTGACAGAGTGGATATCCAGGACATCTAGGAGGGGAAGGAAGGATGGATACACTATTTCAGCTGCCAGCAGGAAGAAGGTACAAAGTGGTCTCGTGTTCAGAGAAGCACCAGCTGTACTAAACCCAACAGGCAATGCCTTTGCAAGTCCCTTCCACCCCAAACTACTCCATGGTTCTAAGATTCTATACACATAAAGGAGGAAGATTCCTTGGCAGTGACAATTTAGAGCAGCTTAAGGTAAACTGGCATCTGTGCACATTAATTCATCTCACACTACAGAAAGGTTGCATGTGCTCTTCCAGAGGAACTGGGAAGGGGAAGAGGGATGAAGTTTGGCTGTAGGATGGGTTCTGGAGCTGCACATCTGAGGGCTGTGCTGTGACCCTCTGCTCTGGCCTACACAGAATTATATCTCACGTCCTACACAGCGACATCAGGCAATGGCTTGGCAATCAGAAACGTCACTGTTGAGGGGGGAATTCATACCAGACAGCTTCTCCCGGAGGGTGTGCACGTCCTTAACGTTGGAATAGGGACCGGATCCCACGACTGTCTTTGCTCCCATCTTGAAGAAGTACCTTGTATCACTCTCCAGGCCATGCACTTCAGTGCTGAAGATATTTCCTGACCGAAAGCAAGTCAAAAGAAATTTAAAATGTGCAGTTTCAAGACCATTCAGAGGCTGCAGCAAAGCAGCAAGGGAATTCTGCTTGGACCTCCAGAAGTGAGGGATTTTGTGACATGAGCTCCAAGAGGCATTTCATACACCTCTTCAGTATTAATGAACTTGTTGATGATGATACAGACTGCACATGGTGCTGCTGGCACACGTTCTTCTAGGAATTACTGGCTGCCAGCCTGTATCTGCGGGATGTTTCCTGGGTGACAATGGCTGTTTCAGCCCTAGACATGTTTGGTTTCGTGTCTCTCAGTAGCTGTGCCCCTGCTCTCTCTGATGTAACCAGGAGCAAGGCTTAGCATGTGCTCCAGGCAAGCTGGCACCGGGAGCTCTTCAATATTTGGTGAGGCAAAAATCAGGGCAGCAGGGCTGAGGGGGGGAAGGAGGCAGGAGGAGCGGTGGGGTAGTGCAGCACCTGGAGGAGGCTCACCTTCCCGCGTCAGCAAGGTCCACATGTCATCAGGCTGGGTGTTGTTGGCGTTGTAGAGGATGAGATACTCCACGATGATGCCGTTGGGCTCTGCAGGCGGGCACCAGTGCACCTGCACAGCGTAGGGGTTGAGCGGGTGCAGCCGCAGGTCAGACGGAGGAGTGGAGGGGCCTGGCAGAGACAAGACCCATCCTGAGCACAGAAAGAGCGGCAGAACATTCGCCCCAGGGTGTCTCTCAGGGACATCAGAGCTCAGAGCGGGGCTCAGACCACATCTCTCAGGGTGCATCAGGAGGGAACTGACAGAGACTGAGGGGACAGCAGGACAAGTCGGGGCTCAGTCGCCGTCAGTACTCACGGTCGGGCAGGGTGAAGCGCTCCACCACGCTGCCGAAGGGGCCGTCGATGCCCACACCGTTGGACTGCACGGCAAACTCGTACCTGGTGTAGGGCTTCAGCCCACTGATGAGAATGTCTTCATCAGAGCTGGAGAGAGAGGACACAGCACAAGGGCGTGAACACCTGATGGTTCCCCCATGTCACCTCACCAGGAACACTCTAAAAGGTTATCCTAACTCTTACAGTATTTGGTCTTTCACCTAAAACTTTGTCTCCTGCAGCCACGTGAGTGCATGAACACTCAGCTCCCAGGCACAGAGCAAAGCAGTTCCCAGTCTCCAGGACCATTTCTGATGTACTTGCATGGAAAAGCCTGCAAACAGCCTGGTTAGAGGCTGAAAATCTGCTCAGGAATCCAGACGGAAAATACATCCCCAAATTATTGTAACTGCTTAAACTCTAGCAATTTACAGACCAAACTTGTGAGGACCATCTCACAAATCATCAGTGCTTTGAGACTGGCCATAATTGCACCCAGCCATGTCATTAATAGAGAAACAAGTGTGTAAGGTCCAAACAGATCAAAAAAGATCTGCAGAGACCAGTAAATGATTCCTTGTATTCAAGCCAAAGGCATCTCAGCAGTTCTGAACATTATCTGTGACCACGGCAGATGTTCCCAGCACTCAGGATTTTGCCAAGTACTGGAAATTCCATGCAGGTTGCTCCTGCCCTGCGTTCATTGCTGACATGAGCAATCCATGGCAGCTGAACCCTGGGCATCCCTGTTTACCTGGTGTAGTATGTCACGAGGGAGGCATTTTTCAGGCCCCAGGGGCTGAAGCGCACGGTGTAGTTGACAATTTTGACTGTTGTGAAGTCAGGCTTCTTCCACCTGAGCCATATGGAAGTTGAGCTGTTGGACTCTGCATACACTTGGACTGGAGGCAGAGGAGGACCCTTCTGCACAGGGGGATCTGTGGTGCAAGGCAAAGAGATGTGGAGATGTGTGTGACAGGAATGTCCCCACCGCCCATCCCAAAACTCTCCTCCTCCCCTTCGGCTGGGGGTGGTGCAAACCTCACACTCAGTGTAACAACCCTGATGGGAAGGGGGATATTTTGCTCCTTTCTCTCCTTCCCAATTCCTCCAGTGCATTTTGCAGTGACTGTCAGAGGAAGCTGCCTTATATTGGGACCATCCCCATTTTGATATTGTCCTTCCTGAAGCTCATCTTCTGTAGCTCTCCCTTTACCCTTTCCTTGCAAGCCACGTGCCAGGCAGAGGGGAAAGACAACCAAGAGGATTGCTCACCTACTGCTGTCGCTGGTGCCTTCTCTGTTTTGCCCTTCCAAACAGCTGCATAACCATCCTCGTGCTTGTTGAATGCCACCAGCTTCACCTCGTAGAGTTTCCCAGGAGCTGGGGAAAAAAAAAAAAGTCAATCAGGGTTTGTCTGGGGTTATTTTTGTCACCAACCCTCCCCAGTTAGATGTGTTTTCCTTCATCCTGCCAGCTTTTCTCACCATCCAAGAAAGTAGCCTGAACACAATAAATATGTTTTTATTACCTAATACCTAAATAAACATCACCTAATACCTAAATTACAGCAGGGAGTCCCCCTTCCACTTACAGGCTTCCCACATGCAAACACTGTCTCACAGCTGGTGCTGGTATCAGCACAGCTGCTCTCTAGTTCTCTCCTTAACTTTTTATAGGAATTATCATCAGAATAATCAGACTTGCCCCAGTCCCCAAAGGTTAACCAGTGTCCTGGTTTGTAGCACATCCTCTCAAGATCTCCTGGTCTTTCTCCCTTGCAAACTACTAAAGAAACCTGCACAGTGACTCCTCTCTCCCCCATGGAAGAGACTTCACTGCACTGCTTATTCTTGAGGGGTGAGGATGTTCTCTCCCAAATGCACCTCCCGTTTCCAAAGTCCCTTCTGATTTACTCACTGCTGTGAGGATCTTCCTCCCAGCAAGTCCTCACATGCCCTGTTAAGTCACTGGCAGCTTTTTGTTGTATTGTGACTATTTTGACTCCACAGCAGTTTCTTGATTTGCAATTAGAAAAGCAACAGTGCACAGAAAACCCACACTAGAAACCTGAGGGGCCTCATTACACACTCTTCCTATCAGAGAACCCTGAAGTGTGGGGAATCTCACACTTGGACCCAAACTGAGCTGCTGGACAGGATGCTCTGTGTCCCAGCAGTGAGGTCCAAAATTCACTTCTTTTTCCTCCAGCCTTTCATCAGCCGAAATACCCTTCTGCTGGAACATCTGAGGATTTTTTTTAATGAAGATGTTTAATCAAGGAAACAACTTGGGAGATACAAAGTTCTCAAAGAAGACACTCTCTGCAGCAGCCACCCCTTCAGGAGCCCAGCCAGAACCGTCCACACCGCCTTTGGTTGCCTTGGCTGCAGCGCAGTGATGAAGTTTGTTAATTTGGGACATGCCTCTTCATTCCCTGCCCTCATAGATCACTGCTCTCTTTGCCAGACAACGTAAGCAGAATAAAACCTTTCTTACTGATGCCAATTTTATTATTACTGCCCTGATTACGCTCCCAGAGGCTGATGGTACCAATTACCAAAGGCTTTCTCTGCTCCACAACACACGTTCGCGCTCAGAATATAAAAACAGCTCAGCCACATTTTTCTTCCCTTAAGAATCCCAAAAGCAAACAGAGTTTTGTCTGCCTCCAAGACAGCCTGATCTGCATTTCCACACTCTCCAGCCACAGAAAAAAATGTTTCAAACCCACACAAGGGGGATGAGACCAAAGGGCACTCAACTTCCAAAGGGCTGGAACAAAGAGCCCCACAGCCCGTTCTCTCACCAGCCCAGACACTCCTCCTCCTGCCCCAGCCTTTGGCTGGGCTTTGCTAGGACACGAGCTCTTTGTGGATGATGTGATCCAAAGGATGAGCAAGAGCTCACAGATGTGATGCAGCTGTGGGAAGCTCCTGTTGGGGAATGAAGTGAAGGAAAGGATGAGTCCTCCATCTCCATCCCTGGGCAGGATGAGCACAGCAGCCACTCACACATGAAGCCAGGGGAGCTCAACTCCAAGATCGAGCACCTCACACCCTGAAAACAGGGGTATTTTGGATTTCTCAGTCAGAGGTTTGCCTTCAGTTTTTATACACAGGCCCAGATGTTCGAGCTCTTAGAACAGACAGACATAAAGCTCTGTCAAGCTGTCAAGAAGCTGGTAGGCAGCATGAAAACAGATGTATTTCACTGCATTCCATCATACATTAAATATAAGCAGAATAATCTAGTCCAGATCATTTCAAATCACTAATCTGAATGACTGCATAATATATCCAATATGCTAAATATGTTGCTTCACTCAGCGTTTCAAGGTGCTCATATTGGCCAGGTGCCAGCAATACTTGCCTTTAAGTGGGAAAATACCCTAACTTCCAGACTCCCAGAGAAATGCAATCTTCCTTCATGGGAACGTGGAAGACAGGATCAGATCCTCACCATTTATTTTTTGAATAAATTATGGCCCTGGTAGTTGTACACCAGTACAGAGAGTAAGATGGAAATCGGTAAGAATTCCTCAGGGAAAAGCCCACCTGGGTGGTTCAGGACAGCTTCCTTTTGGTTTTGTGGGCTCATGAAATTGCTGTGCCCTTGAATAGCTGCCCATCTCTCACCAGGACTTCAGCACCCACACCTCTGTGACAAGACACAAGGGGTGACATCAGTGATACCACTCTAAGGAGACACAGTTTGCTCCAGAGATTGGCATGAGATGGGAGTCACAGCAACTGCTCTCCAGAGGCTCTGGCCAAAGCTGTTTCTGCACCCCCATCCACCTCTGCCTGGGGTGTGCCTTGAAGGGCACAAAGTGCTCCTTTCAAAGTGTTTACCTCACAAACTGCTTCCTTTCTTGCCCTGCTGTGCTCCTGGAAAAAAAAAAAACAAAACCAAGGACAACCAGGAGCTATGTAGGAGCAAGGAGTGGGAGAGGAGTTTTGTCCTTCAGGCCACACCTCAAACCAAGACAAGAGAAGGTGCAGAGTGTTGCCTTCAGTCAAGGGACATGCAGGGACTGTGCAGGACCTTGTCTGCACTGACATGCTCTGTGACCATGTCTGAGCCACAGCCTGACGTTCCCAGTGTCCAGCCTGGGATTTCCAGACACCATTTCTAACACTGGAACAGGCTTCCTAGAGAGGTGATCGATGCCCCAAGCCTGTCAGTGTTTAAAAGGTATTTGGACAGAATCTGCTTTAACTTTTGGTCAGCAGTCAAGCAGTTGGACTTGATGACTGTTGTAAGTACTCCCAAGACAGTGCTGGGTGTTTTCTTTGTTTTTACAGGGGACTCACAGGAGAGGTTTCCAGTGCTGTGCTTCCCTGGCAGACATCCATGAGCTGGGAAATCCCCCCAGCTGATTCCCCATCAGCCCACATGCAGATCACATTAAGGCTGCCAGCCCTTCCTGAGACCAATCCCAGCTCTGCCTATAAGATACAGACCTAAGTACCTGCACAGGGTAGCTCTGCACCATAAAACTAAACCCTTCTGAATCCCAACCACTCCTCCCCCTTGTTTCATGTCCAGACCCCCTGCCTTCCTCGGCACAGCCAGATTCCTGACCCTTCCTTTATTGGGCGCGTGCAGGAGCACATCATTCAACAGCACAGGGGGAGAAAAGGGAACATCCACGGCTGGGAGAAACCCGAGACTCGGTTCCTGACGCAGCAATAGCCGGCACACAACCGCCAGGTCATAAGGAAACCATTAGGGCTCGACGGATGCCCAAATTTAAGGAAGTAATTACAGGGGAACAAGCAGCCCTCTCAGCATCACCGTGCCAGAGCATTTGGAACCAATTCAGCCCGCCCCGAGCCCCTCGGCTGACGGCCTTGCCAGCGGTTGGAGCAGCGCGGGATGATGTTCGCATGTGGTTTCCCCAGCGCAATAATTACAGACCAAAGTTCGTCGGAGAAGCTCATCGCTGTTAACACTCTCTCAGTGGCAGAGCTGGGAACCCACTTAGTGATGGCACAGCCAGCCCTTCCAGGCGCTGCAGCCTGGCCTTTCCACCGTGCGTAGTAAATACGCTACATGTGTAAGAGGAACCGGCACAACGCACGCGCACCCTGCGGGCTCGGCTCGCTGGGCAGAGGCATGAAGTGGGGGACAGAACAACTCCACTTTCATTTTGTATAACTTTCCCCTCTCTCTCTCCATCCTCTATCAACGGGCAAATCAATTAATTAACACAATCACATGTTAGGGACATAACTCCTTGTGGGAAACATGGAGCACAGTGAGCCAGGCAGGCAGATCTGACTGCTGTGCAGATGTTCTCCAGCCATGGACACTCACTCTTACACCTCTTTTCCCTTATGGGGGAGGTGCAGGAGAATACTGGCCCAAAATTAGCATGCTGTGAATTATCCCATCTCTGCATTGTAAGACAGAGAGATTTCAAACAGGATGCAATTATGGAGCTCCTTAGAAACACACAGGGAAGGAGAGATCATTGTCCTGACTGGGGGTTTCAATCTTGGCACTCTTTACAGTGACACATTAAAAAAACTAATTGATTAAGAACCACTTATTAGCATATACTAAGTATATTGGTAACCCTTGGTTAAAAATACAATCCCTGCTACACTGGCATCAGAAATTTCCATGGCCTAAACTCTGCTCAGAATAAGCCCCAAGAGCCCCACTCCAGGAAGGATTTTGAGTGCTCTTAAAACAGCCCAAAGCAAACAACTGAGCCTCCTGGGAGCACCCTGGGATGCTGCAAAGTGCAAGAGATGGGCCCTGGCTCTCCACACCAACTGCTAGGAAGATGCACCCAGCTCACCCAGTCGGGTCAGCTCGTACTGCTTCACTTTCTTCTTGAGTTTTATGGGTCCCACGTCCCAGCTCTCATCTTCAGCACCATCCAAGGGGCTCTCATTGCTGGACTCCTCCGGGCCCACCTCTCGGTAGTAGAGCTTGTAGCCAGATATCTGGGCATGGTTGGCTGGGGGCTGCCACGTTATCAGGAGAGACTCCATCTTCGCTCGGACTTTTAATTCCGTTGGGGCAAATGGAACTGAAAGAAAGAACAGGAGAAAAATGTTCAGCCACTTGTCGCCATTTCCCTGCTCTACTGAATCCTCCCTGTCCTCAGTAGTGAGGGAGGGATGTGAGGAAAGGCTGTGCTGAGTGGGATGTCTCTGCTGCCTGACAGTGGAGAGTGGGAGAGTTACATTCCCAGCTGGGTCATACAACAATGTCACAAAGCCACTATGGGGTTTCTCAATGTATTCTGAGATATTCCTGTCTTTAACCACTGCTGGAGTCTGGTGTGGGCTCAGCTCTGCCTGGCAGAATTGTCTATTCCCTCCCAAATGTCATAACGTTGGGGTCTGGGGTTTTGTTTGTTTGTTTCTTTTTTAAGAACTTTCCCAGCTGCACATGGAGGGAGGACAGACTCACTGCCCAGGCAAGCAGGGAGATGTGCAGGGGCTGCTGAGCAGCGAGAGAAAGGTCAGCACTTCGGTCTAACCAAAACCAGTGCTTGTAATTCCCAAAGCAAAGCAAGAATCTCTGAAAATGCCTCAAGTTCTCCACTCCCTGCTCCAAATCCCAGGCATTCCCAGGCTCCTACCGTGTGTCTGGTTGTCCCTGTCAGGAGTCCGGTGCTGGGTCCACTCGGAGGGAGCCCCGTACCCCACACCGGTGCTGGCTGCGATCCGCACTTTGTACACTTTGTTGGGATGGAGCGAGTAGAGCGTGATCTGGGTCTCGTTTCCGCCCACTTCGATGGAGGTGACCTGATCTGCTGGAACCAAGGGGACACCGCTGAAAACAGGCATCTCCCAGCCCAAACACAGCTGAGCAGCCACAAGCCTCGCTGCCCCACGCGGCCTGAACGCCCTGGGCCGGCTTGGCTTGGCCCAGCGCAATCTCACGCCACCGAGAAAAACCAGAACTGAAGGCTGGGCAGAGCTGATATCCTGACTGACAACTCCCTTCATCACATTCCAAACTGCAGGTTGCCCTCAGCACACGGAGCCTGCCTGGAGGGAGCTGTCAGAAACCCTGCTGCTGACGTGACGGTGGAACGCGAGCACAGCTGATGGGAGCTGATGGTATGTTCCAGTGCTCCTCCCTGCTGTATTTAAATCCTCACCTTAATTTGAACCAGAACTGTCCAGCAGCCCTGCTTTCTGCAAAATTCACACCTTCACCCGAGCCAGGCGGAGGTTTCATCACTGCCTCTTCAGCCCACCCAAGTTCAGAAGGGGGATAACAGGAAATTTAAGCTGAGAATGGCCTGGGATTTTCACTGTAACAACTAACTGGTCTTGCTGAAGATTCATGTTGCCTGTTTGGAGAATGCAGAGGTCTTAATTTCAGCTTCCCTGGGCATTAACTCAGCCGAGAGCGCTGTCCCTGCTATGTAACAGAGTATTGCTGAGTGTGATCCCAGGATTGCAAGTGTTTCCAGGGTTTTACGACGCCACAGAGCCATGTGCAGGCTCAAGGCAAAGAACAAGAGCCAGGAATCACTGCACAGACTACTAATTCAGTTCAAATACATGGGAACATGTCCAGCACCTCACACTCCCCCCATCCTTCTCTCAGGAAGAATCATGACCCTGGGAAGTGAGAAGCTGCAGAGCTTTGACGGTTTTAAGAGCAAATACCCAGAAGGATTTGCAAAGCAAGCACACATGGAATTGGACCAGCCACATCCAGTGTAGGTAAATGTTACCATCCCTGCTGAACGTTGCTTAGAGTGTCTGACAGCGTAAATAAAACTGGAAAACACTCAGCAATAGAGCAACACAGCTTGGACAGGATTACTTGTTGGGGTTTTTTTTCCACAAGGATCACTTTGATTAAACTCCATTTTAAAGAAACTGAAAGCATTTACCCCTCATCCCCAACCAGCACAAAGCTCTTCCCCCCAAAATACACACAGTTCAGATGGCAGTGAGAGGTTGCCTATGCAGACATTCCTGGGGCAGCACAAACATGGGTCAGGCCATTCCCCTGGGGACACAGCTCCTCCACAGTCACAGGAAAGGGCATCCTGAAGTCGTGTGAAGCAGCACCGGGCATTGCCATGACCAGCAGGGCCAGGCTTCATGAGAGCTGCTCCGCCTGGGGTAAAAGGGGTCCCCCATTTCCAGCCTTGCACCTCCTCCCCTCCCCATGACACGCTGTTAACACCCCTGGAGCAGAGGATTCAACCCCCCAGATGGAGCTCCCCTCACCTTCCTTGAGGGTGCAGTAGTCGATCTTGTACTTGGTTATCTTGCCGTTGCTCAGCTCTGGAGGAAGGGGCAGCCACGTCACACGGATGTCACCAGGGGTCATGCTGGACAGGGACAGCTGAGGGGCAGCACTGGGAACTGGGTGGAATCAACCACGAGAAGTCAGCAAAGAGCAGAGCAAGACCTCAACACATCTCTGCCAGCACAATGAGTTGGCTGGAGGACACTACCTGGTCTTGGCCCTGCCACAGCCACTGGTGACACGGTGTCTGTCCTGGGGGAAACCAACACCCCTGGGAGCATCAGAGGGGTGTCTGGGGAGGGGAGATGGTGGGCTGCTCCACTTCCAGGCTGAGCAGAGCCTGCCCAGCCACACTGCTCCCAGGGGCCCTGGGAACTGCAGACTGGGCAGGCTGGCACACACCAGCTCTCGGCCCGTGCTGCATGTGGAGCACGAAGGAGACACTGAAGGAAATGGCTCACAGATCCAATCTGCAGCCTGGGAATCCTCATTCCCTCAAGAACAACAGCTCTGGCTGCAGGCAGCTTTCCTGCTTTCAACTCAGCCCTTCAGGCTTCAGACACACACACACACACACACACAGGGGACCACGCAGGTCACTGTTGGGAGCATTAAAAGCACATAAAGCACATGAGGTCTGCCAAAATCATCACTGTTTGCCTGTCCTGCAGCCTGTGGAAAGCTGTGCATGTCCTCCTGGCACTCTGCCTCTACTGCTATGTGATAAATGGCAAAATCAACACAAACTACTAGCTTTTAAGGCATCTGACCTCAAGGCTGCTCCCACCCCTACACATTGCAATAGATGTTTCTTCTGAGTTGAAATCAAGTCTGGCCCGGAGTCAAGCCTGGAGCAATATCATGTGAGCTGGGTGAAAGCCTTGAGGAGCTGACTGCAGTTGCCAAAGGATTCCTGTGGGCCCCAGTGTTGTCAGCCAGGTCATTTTCATGCCCTTAATCACCCAAGTGACGATCAGACCAAGGTGCAGGTTTGGGTTTCTAGGAGCTGCTCCTGCCAGGAATATTTTTGAGGCACCACCGCCCATCTAACTCAACGCACCGTCCTCCAGGGTCTGGACAATGATGGAAGAGGATGTCCGGCTGGCTCCGAGCTGGGAATACGCCACCACGTAGAACACATAGTTGGTATTGGGTTCCAGGTCCTTGACTTGCAGCTCAGTGGTGTCATTATTGACAGCAAACTGGTATTCCACGTTATCTGTTCCTGGAGCCAAGGAAACACTGATCAGCAGGTCAGTGAACTGCCAAGACACTCCTACAAAACAATCACTTAACTCACAAGGCCCACAGTGTAAATCCACTTTAAAAATCAATGTATTCTCCAATTCCCCCAGCACCTGCACAAGCCCCACCTCTTATATGAGTCCTTTGAGCAGAAACATCCAATGCCTCAATGTTAACACCTCCATTCTGACTCGAGCTCCATGCTGAGGCAGCTGCAGATACTAGTTTTAATTTCCAGAGGAGCTCTGGCAGCAGTTCAGCAAGAGTATTGGCTTGCTGGCTGTTTGGGAAGACAGACCCCAAGAGACCCAAGTACCTCACTTCAGATTCTGGGTGTGAATAATTTAGCGACTGCCTTTGTACACAGTGTAGCTGGTTAATATCTCCATTAGCAATCACACCCTTTGCATATAAAATCAATGTGTATAAAATCAGTGCCTGGTCCCACTAGAATCCAGACAACTCAGCTTTGTGGACATGTTACTGCCATTCAACAAGTTAGAATATGTCGGCTAATCCGCAGGCACTGCCACAGGCCGGTGCTGACTCCAAAACTCCTCTACCTGCAGTGAAAAGAGCTAAACCAACTGGAATTGCCGGGAAGGAAACTCAACCCGTGCCTCGTGCCTTGTAACGAGGTCACAGGCAGTGACACCCACCCACGGCCCGCTGGTAGTGCAGGGAGAAGCCGATGATCTGCTCGCTGTTGTGCTCCGGGCGCTCCCAGGACACGAGGACCGTGGTGCTGGAGAGGGACACGGCCGACACCTTCTTGGGAGCGCTGGGCAAACCCTCCCTCACGATCACCGAGAGCTTGGCCGTGGCGCAGGCCGTGCCCAGGCTGTTCTCAGCCACGCACTGGTAGTAGCCGGCGTCCTCCAGGCCGATCTGGTTGATGACGAGGCTGCCGCTGCTCTGCACCTTCACGCGCCCGTTGGACAGGATGGGCTCCCCGTTCTTCAGCCAGTGGATGGTGGGGGCTGGCTCCCCCTCCGCCTTGCACACGAACCTGGCCGTGCTGGCTCGGGTGCGGGAGATGGTTTCGGGAGCCTGGGAGATGCTGGGAGTAGCTGGGAGGAGAGAGGGCAAATTAATGCGGGAAGGAGGAGGAAAAGATAGCAGAGCAAATCCCTTCTCCTCCCCACTCGGTGCTATGTTTTATTCAGTAGCAGCTTTGCTTACAAGATAGGATTTGCCAGGCAGACTCTAGAGGCTTAATTTAGACTCTGTCCAAAAGGAAAAATAAATTCTGTATCAATCATGTGCTGCGTTCCCTGATCCTAGGCTGTTCTCCCTGCTGGCTTCCACGATACTGGAAGTTAATTGCTGATAGAGATTTCCATGGGAGAACCCTGGAGAACCAGAATGAGGCATAAAACGGTTCAGTAAATAGAGGGAACTAAACCCCAAATTAAAGAGGTGACACTCCCACTGAGAGCTATCCCAACCCAGGGCCTCCTGGCTCTAACCTGGCTCCCACCTTACCCAGCACAGGCCACAGACATAGTTCCTTGAGGATCTCCTGGGTGTTGGTCCACACAATCCAAAGCTACCTGGTCAGCATTTCTACCTGGTCAGCATTTCTACCTGGTCAGCATTTCTACCTGGAGTGTTTCCCTGCTCTCTACTCACCCAGGACCCGGAGCTCGGCGGCGGCGGTAACGAACTGCCTGGTTTGGGGTTTGTTGGCCCGGCAGACGTACACCCCAGAGTGATGGGGCTGGCTGGAGGGAATGAGGAGATTGGTCCTGCCCAGCACAATCACATCCGTGGAAATGGGCTTTCCATCTGCAGGAAGAAACGTGCACAAACGTGGGAGGGAGCCCCAGGCTGCCCTTTGTGAGGGCTTGTAAACAACGCTAGGATCGCATCTGGGGAGCGGAGAGACCCCCAAATCCCAAACCCCAGCCCAGAGGAGGGTTCCTGCTGGGACACGCCTCAGTGCTTGACAGACAGCTCAAGCCAACACTGACACAAGGTGTAGTTTAGCCTGTAATAGCTGAAGAAGTTCTGTTTTGGATCAGAATAGTCTCTGATGCCTTGGGTGTGCCTGCAGTGAGAGCCCCAGGAACAGTACATTCAAGGGAAGGCCATGCTAACACCTGATTTGGAAAAGCTGCTGGATCTGCCTTGCTGACCCCCATCACAAACACACACACCTCCCCTCACTCATTAATGCAGTGTCAGCAAGAGTGCTGAGTCACTGACAACTCAGGGGTTCCTCCCTCCTCTGCATCCTGGATGGGAACCCAGATTTACTGAACGAGTGTGGGAGACAAAGCCCAGAGCTGGGGACAAGCTGAGGAGAGGCCTGGATGGGAGGGCTGGCACAGGTGGGCAGCCTGGGAAAACCTGCCAATTTGTGCAGTACCTGTGCAATCACCAGACCTTGTTCTTCTCCACCTGCAGCAGCACAACCTCAGCACTGCCTGCCTGTACCTCTCCCAGCTTCAGCTGAGCCTGGATCTCACACAGAAGCAAAAACTCCCCACCTCCACCGCGAGCAGCTGCACCAGCTTAGCACCATCAGCAGGGAATGTGGCTGAGAGCAGACCCTCTGCCCCCTCCCTCCATTTTGGGGGGCTTCACACGGCCTCACAGTTCAGTGGCTGCACGCTCAGGAGGAGACAATCTGCACACCCCGGTTGCACTGGAGCGGTTGGAAAACCTGACTCCAGATGGTAGCAATTAACTGACACCACCAAGGCTGGCAAGAGCCAAACTGGCAAGCTGAAGGTACATCCTTGGTGTTCCCTGCATGACTAATGGTCCAGTAACCCAGCCTGCTCCTTAATGAAGGCTTGGAAAGAAACATGCTTGTATAACACAGAATGACTAGCACTGTTAATCCATCTTTTTTAATTGAAGAGTCCACACCAGGAGGCAGATTGGGACCAAGCAAACACTTGAAATAAAGCATGGAAAGAACTGGTACACCAACCTTTCCCCCCTTCCCACTTGTCTTCCCTCCTTCCAAAAAACTTTCACAATGATAATTAACTCTAATAATATCTACTCTGCTATGGGCATCAGCAGCTCTCAGTAAAGGAGTGAATAAGTGATCAGCATGGGAATGCTGAGCATTTGTAATTGTGAAGTGCACAGGATAAACCAGGAATATTTCTGCCAGAACATTTAATCCTTGCTGATTTGATTTCCAAAGTTGTATCCTCTAAGGTTTTTTTGCTCCTTTTTTTGTAGGGAAGAGGAAATATTTTTATATGCTAAAATCACTGCCTGTGGACAAATCTGGGCTGAAACCCAACCACGATAAATGGTTACAGGGGAGAGGAGTCTTTAATTGTGACCCAGATTTATGAAAATGACTGAGAGCCTTTTCTGGGAGAGAATCAACCTCTGAGCTGAGAAATGTCTTCAGTCAGAGCCTCTGAAACACATCTGATGGACGTGACTCTCAGTGAAGTGACACTGGCATCCTCCTCGTGACTCTGGCTATCAGCCCTGGGTAACATCTGCCATCCCAGCTCACTCGTACACCTCTGACGAGACCTAAGCAGCTCCTCGATCCTTCCACTCAACAAAAACCTCCCTGCAACAGTGTCCCAGTCCCTCCAGGCATTAACAGATCTTATCAAGTCTTATAATGCTGCAAGGTAATACAAGTTATTTCTCCAGTGCAACGGCACATTCTGCAGCATCCCCAGTAACCTCCGAGTCCCTGGAGGAGCGACATTCACCTGACCCCATCTTCATGATCTTCACTGCCCCAGTCCATACAATGAGCAAGGCTAATTTAGATCCAAAGGCATCCAGGAACTAGGACATCATGTATTTCACAGGTCAAACAACTATAAATTGAACGGTGTGCTCTGTAACCTTCAAGATTTAATTAATGATTCCACTTGAGCAAGGACACCCTACACCTACATCATTAGGCACCGACGTAGGGAGCACCCTTCCCGTCCCACAGATTCTTCCACCTGTTGATAGATTTTTAAAATAAAGCAACCACAGGTCCCTCTTGACAACACAAACTCAACCCTGTCCCTCGTACTCACCCTGTCGTATCCAGGAGACAAAAGGGGTGGGATCAGCAGCCGCCATGCACTCCATCACCACGCTCTCCCCGGCCACCACCGTGGTGTTCTCCGGAGCGGCCACGATGGTGACGTCTCCTCCCGCTGGCTGGGAACCTAATGGCAAAAACAAAAGGAAAAGTCTGTCCTTCCAAGTTGTGAAGTCCCCTAGAGAAACAGAGAAGGTAGAGCCCAGGCTCCCTGGCCGTGCTTCCCCGGGCTGTCTCACGTGGGGAAGCGGCTCATGCCCACCTGGAGGAGAAAAGCAGGTCTTGCTTTTACATGGCTACGATATTTTTACTAAAGAAATGAACAATCTGCCCTGCAGATTTACTCTAATCGTGCTGGCCTCAGTAAAAATTAATATCAGGACTTCCCATGGAAAATTAGTAGTTTCAACCCAGCACCTTCATGAACTGTTGCCACGTGGATGTTTGTTCACTAGACAAAAAAAAAACCAACACGCTGCTGTCCTCAGGGCAACACCAACACTTGCCAAGGCATTGGAAAAACTTGGGAAAAATCCAGTAACTTGGTTAAAGAAATCCTAACAGCCAGATGTTGGATGTAAACTGCAGCAAGGAGAGGTCAGGGCTGTGTCCCGGCCTTCACCTGACGGCACAAAGATTGATCAGCCATCACACATCTGGAAGGAGAGAACCCTGAGCAGCTTGTACGTGCACAGACCTACAGCCAGCACTTAAATCAAGCAAGGTTTACAGGAAGGTCTCCAGGCTGCATTGCACAATGTCTTGAGAATGGGATGGGGATATTCTGCTTGAAATGAACCTTCTGCCTGCGTCTGCCCACTGCTGAGCAGAGGTTAAGGGAAGGTTAAGGAAATGCCTTTGCAGCAGCCAAATTTCTGTTGTCAGATGAAAACAACCGGAGCACTCCTGAGCAGACCAGACTGTTCATGACCCTCAACAGTAGCAGCCCTGTTCTTCCAGCTCCCTCAAATACCTCTAACTCTGAGGGACACTTTTGTTGTTGAAGGAAGAAGTAAATGCAGAGGAGTCACGTAGCACCAGGGACTCTTAGGCCTGCAGAGAAAGTTGTTGGCAGCAGGTCTCAAACAAACAAAAGCAGGACCTTTCTGCACAGTACAAACTCTCAGGATGCTCCAGGGTTCAAAAACCAGGAAGTTCAGACAAGTTCACGACAGACACATTTATTGCAACTGTTAAATATGGTCTCACTGCAGTCCCCAGTCCAAAATGTTCCTGACTGGGATACTTTGTCTGACAGGGATCCTGACTGTCAGATGCTGAGGGAGATGTCCAAGGAAAACACCATGTCCTCTCTGCCCAAGTTTTTTTTCATGCTGAACTCCAGCACCTGCTGTGGTCACTTCTGGAGACGGCACTGCTGGACCTCCGGCCTGACCCTCCCTGGCCACTCAGGCAGCATCCAAACAACTCATCTTTTAATTCCTTGTGGATATAAACCAGAGGGGCTTTGGCCTCAGCAGGCAGAGCTGCCTGCATGGCAGGAGGCCACAAAGGGCTGCACTGAATGCGCTGTGCTCAGCCCATCCCCAGGCTCACCGCCACTCACTCCGAGCAGGGCAGTCTTGCCAAAGAATTGGTTCAACGCTGAAATGTTCTCCCAGTCCGTACGTGCGTGAAAGGGATTTCCATCCCCAGGATTACGTGAGCACAGCCAAAAGGAGCAGCAGAATCCCTGAGGCACCAAGGGAGACCGGAGCGAGCAGGAGCCAGTGCTTGTCCAGCAGATGGAAGCAGAGACCAAGGAGCACCCCTGGGTCCTGACCTGGGGCAGTGGCCGGACCACACTGACCTGCGACACCAGCTCTGGGCAAACACCAGCAATAGAGCTGTGCTGGGGCACGGAGGAAGAGCCAGGCCAGTTGTCCTCCCTCCAGTGGAACAAGCACCCTGCACAGAGGGGCTGGGGTGGGCAGGCACACACAGTCTCCTGGGCTGGCCAGGGCTTTGCTCCACCACGTTGTTACCTGCTCCCACCGTTCTGTCCATGGACACTTTGGACACTTGCAGCCTCGCAGCCATCACTCCCAGATGCAGCAGGACAACGTGGGGGACAGCACAGGGACAAGAAGGAAACACATCACAGAAGGATTCTGAGGTCTCACTGATAAACAGATCGAAGTCCTGGGCGCTGTGGTGCCAAGGCTGGGCCTGAGGACTACTGAGACAGAAAATAGGGCTTAATACAAAAACAGGCACGAGAGCTTCCACACCAGGGAGCCAAGCTGAAGGATCAGGGAAATGCAAGGCTCTCTGCACCAGCAGCTTTCAACAAAGCACTAAAATCCACAAGGAATCACTAGTCCTGCATCAGACTGCAGAGCCACGGCAGCTTTTGATGAAAACAAGCAGGGCAGCAGCCAACAACCCACATCCTGGAAGCAGGAATATACATGGTAGGACTTCCAGCCTACCGTGGGAGTGAGATTCTTCACCCAACACCAGCGGCTGCCGTGGACCTGCTGGGCAGGACATGGCTGAAACACGTCTGTGTGCACAAAGCTGCCTTTTTCTGCAGTGCTGGGGGGAAAAAATAAATCTAGAGTGAAAAAATAACACCAGCCAGATGGCAATATATTCCCTGCCAGATTTCCAGGCAGCTTTCTCTACTGAGCTTAGGGCAGAGGAAGAGAGAAAGCTCCTCAAAACCTGAGTTTAACAATCATCTGTTGCATTCAGGTGCTGACTGGTAAAAGCACTTTACAGGTTATAGGAACTCCACCTGAAGGCACTTGTCCTGTAGCACTTGGTCCCTCAGCTGCCTGGTAGTGCTGCCAGTCACCAGGAGAGGGATCTTTACCTCAGTTTAAGCCTTGAAAAGCTATTGGGAAAACATATTAGTCCAGACCTCCCATCTGATTATTCCTGAAATTATATTATAAACCCCAACAGTCCTGCTTGCTTTCCCAGTGCATTCCTGGGCGTGTGCATGGATGAATGCCCCTTACACCGCTTGCACACACAAACACATCTCCCTCCAGCTTTGTATTCCACCCTGGGTCTCTCAGAGCAAGTCCACGAGCCAAGCTCCTCTTTAAACTCATTCCCTTTGGAGTGCATTTTTCCCCTGCCATCCACTGGATATAACAGATCACAGGTCCACGGGCACAAACTTTGGTTTGAGGAGTTCCCAAGAACAGCACTGAGCTCACCCCACGCAGGGGATTCCAACACGCAGCAAAGAGTAAAACCAGCGTGAGGGTTTTTTTTTTTGTCTCTGCTGCCATTAAGACCATTTCAGGTCAAGAGGGAATATTGTCAGAACTAAAGGAAAAAAAAAAAAAAGAGCTCTGCAGTTTCCAAGCCATCTTTCACTGCCTGAACAAAACAGGTCACTGAATGCACCTGCGCCGTGCTGGCCGCTCTGGGGTATTAAAAGCTTTCACAGTGCTGCTATTTAAAACTTGGGCTTTGAGATCTCCCCCCCCACCATTCTCCCAGCTTTGTTTTGCCTCTCCAAGCAGCAGAGCTGCTCCAGGCAAAAGCTCTGCACAGCCCAAGGCAGAGCCCATGGATTCACATCAAAACTCGCCATCACTGATGGCCTTCGTGGAATTTTTGCCCTTCTGAATAGGAGGGATCGATTTCATCCTCTTTTACTGAAATAAACCTATCTATGGGGTGCCAGGAATAGCTCTGGGGTGACTGGGAGTGTTGCACAGGACTGAGGGAAATCCTCTGGGCACTGAAAATTAGAGAAAGAGGCTCTTTTCCTGCACACACTTGTGTCTGCACAGGGAGACACCAGAGGTGCTACCACAGAACAAGAGACTCACTGATCATCTGCAGAAATATTTCAGAATATTCCCCTCAGTTTTACTGAGTGACTCACTACAGAGCACTTCTCAGTTGCCTGTCATGAGACAGGCGGGTCAGGCCAAATTTGGGTGCTCCATTCCCTCCGTTCCCTCGCTCTCACGGGCACCTCTCAGTGCCTGGAGCTGGGCTCAGGGCAGGCACAGAGGAAATACAACAAATCACTTATGATCGTGTTATAACAGCAAAAGGAGGTGGGGAAGGGAGCACAGGGAACCTGGAGCCAGCGAGGGAGCGAGCCAGACAGATCTCAGCTCACAGACCTCCCGCCTGACCTCCACAAATCCAATCTGCGTCGTTTCACAGCGAAGGGGAACGATGAGCAGGGATGTCAACGGGGAGCTGCCTGGGACAGAGCTCAGAATGTTTATTTGAGGTCGTGGCTTGAGTTATAACATACATCAGTGATTTCCAACTCCAAGAGTTCATAACTTGGCTCTGCCTCTAATGCATCCATAATTCAAGAGCGATCCTCTCCCGCCTCCCTGCTCTTGTCAGTGCAGAGCATCAGCGAAGAATTCAGGCAGTGCAACAGGAGGGAAATGCTTTTTGTTCAGCCAATTTGTGATGGTCGTTTGCAGTGACAAGAGGATGACTTCTCAGATGGGAACTAACACCTCTCTGCCGACTCCATAAACACCCTGCCTCGCTAAAAGTGCTGGAAGGTCAAACATGACTTGCATGGCGACACATTCAGCTCTCAGCTGTCAGCAGGTCAAGATTTGGAGATATCCAACAATCAAGCAACAATCTCTGTTCTGCGAACTTTCTCACCCTCTCTGGAGGAGGAGCATGAAACCTTATTCATCCCTGCGAGCCTCCTCCGGGAATAGATCCTAGCACCGAGCAGCTGTTCATTAGAGAAAGTCAATGCTGTCATTGCTGTTATTCTGCAGACAATAAAGGAGCAAATTACCCATTGCAAACCGCACACCTTCAAAAATGCAGGCGCTGTGTTTGCAGAGCGTGTCCTGCTCCCACTCCCGAGCTCTCTCCCTTTTCTGGGATAACTCACAGACCTGCTGGACTGTTCAGCAAGAAAGCTGGTACAGCCATGGAAGAGAAAAACATCCTCCAGACCTGCCTTCCTCCTCCCTTTACACTGTCCTGGAAATTTATCTATAATTTATTTCTACTTCTGGGCTAGACCCAGGACAGGAGATAATTAGCAAGTAAAATCTCTAGGCAGGACACTTGCCCAGTTGTATCTGAACACTACAGAATATCTGCTTTGGGGGCAATATAAACCATGTCAGATCTCACACCTGAGCACTCCTAGCAACAGGCATTTCT